AACGTAATGTATTGTAAAATAAAATAAATTTTGCTTTAAAAAATAAAAATGAAATTGTGAAAATAAACAATGAATTTCCATATCTATTTTGCTCCTACAATTGTATAGTGAGAAAATATCCTTTTTATTAGAAAAACTTTGAAATTGCTACAATATTTTTCAATATTATTTAACACAATAATAACTGAGTTGGAATAAATAATTCAAGATTAAGTACACACATGAATAAAAATTATGAAAAAGAAATTTTTTCACTCTAGTGAAAGATCAATTTTTATTTACAAAAACAAATTTTATTAGCAAAAAAATACATAATAATTACTTTATATTTTTGAAGTGATTGCTTCATTATTAAGAAAATAAACTTTTTTCTATTATTATGTGCGTCATTCCCATAATATTATAGGAACCATTTCTATAATATTATAGGAACCATTCCTATAATATTATAGGAACCATTCCCATAATATATTGAAGCTATTCCATTATTGTATAGGAACGTTTCCAATAAATTATGGGTATGGTTCTCATAATGAGTATAGGATTAATGCATATAATGATAATTTTATTATAGGATCCATTCCCATAATTGTTGGAATGATTCCGATAAATTTCTCTCCGTGTAAATGAATATTGGTTAAATAAAATATTATCGAAAAACACTTTTTGCCCTTTTTGTTACTACCTTCGATGCATGCATGAAATTTTGTGACTAAAAAAAATTTTTAAATTGAAGGATAAGAATTTTAATGTTATCTTTCCGAGCTCAAATTTTTGACACACATAAAAATTAAATAACTTTTGAACTAAAAAGAAACTCAAGTAATTTTGATATTAATTTTTTCAAAGGATTAAAATTTTTTTAATTGAAGCTTGAATTTTAAAACAAAAAGAATTTGAATAAATCTAAGCTCACATTTTCAAAATATAAAATTTTGTTAATTTTGAGATTCAATTTTTGAACTAAAATAAAATACTAAATAAATTTTAGCTTCAATTTTTAAAGTCATTAAAAAATTACGCTAATCAGAACTGAAATTTTTCAATAAAAAAAATTCTATTCAATTTTTCGTCTCAAAATATTTTAAAAGATAAAATATCAAATCAAATTGTTGATAGAAAATTATCCTTAAATTTAATTGCTTTAATTTTTGAGCAAAGCAATTGTAATTTGTAAAAAAAAAATAAATAAATAAAAATAACTATAATCTTATAGATTACCAGACCCACTGGGCTTGCCACCACCTCGACTGCACCCGCACGAGGGGCTCCTCCACCATCCTCACCACCCACAGCACCAGCTGCCAGAAGGAATCTCCCGACTGTCTTCCGAGGGATCTCGTCTGTCTGACGGCGGAATCTCTCGTCTCTCGGACAGTCTGAGCGAGGCACACAGTCCTCCACTGGTGGCAACCAACCTCTCGGTAACAGGCCCGCTAAGAGTCGCAGTTCCGAGTCCACACACGCCCTCGTCCCGCGGAAGTCCACCCTCGAACCACCAGACACCTTCGTCTCAGCTACAGAACCAGCCATCTTCCGCTCCGGCGGCTACCCAGGGACTGATCCGCGTGGTGACTCCTCCGACGCAAAGCAATCCGCCGAAACCGCCACAAATTCACAGGCCATTCTCACCCGCGTGATACCTCAGCTCAGTGAGTTGTAATTTGTAATTTGTCCGACAAATAACGCCATTGAGTTGTCAATAATTCATTCAATTATTTAATAATTGAATTTTTCCCATTTTTCAGACATTTAATGTTTTATTTTATTTTATTTCGTAGTCTGTAAATATTAAATGAATAAATAAATTATATTATATATCATCATATTAAAAATAAAAAAAATTTAATTAATATGAGCTTTTAGGCCAAGCTTTTGCTGTAAATATTAAATTTTTAAAAAATAATCGAGTAAATTTTTTAAATTATTTATAATATTTAATGGAGGAATAAGGATGTATATTGTGACGCTGGTAGTCCCTTAGGAGATATTTGGTCGCTCGAAGCACCAAATGTTTTACCTTATTTCTTGTATTATTAATTATTATAATTATTATTGTAAGTTATTAAGTTTATTATTAATAAAAATGTTTCTTTGAGAAACATCGATCGCGCAATTATCTTCTAGATTATTGTAAATACTATTATTATTATTAATATTATTCAAAATGATTTATCAATTACGAAGGATCACCGCGAGTGAACTAGTGGAATAATTACCTATAATATTTAATTACTAATTTAAATGGTGAATTTTTTTTTAGTAGAAAACTTGAGGCAAAATGAAAAATTCTTCGTATGGAAAAATTTTTTGGAATAAATAAAAGTATTTGGAAATTTTAGCAAAATTTGTGAGAAATTTTTTTTTAATTTTACGCGGAAAAAAAGATAAAAGTACCTATTATTTATAGGAATTTTTTTTAAGTTTACACAGTAAATTTTCCATTAATGAAATTTTCAATTTTTTTTTCTCCGTTTAAAAAGAAAATCTATCAATAAAGTTAAAAATATATAAACCCATTCTGCCTCAAATTTAATTTTAAAATCCGCAAGAGATAAGACTGATTCGCGGTGAAATAAAATTAGTGATTCTTTGATATGCAACAACGAAAATTGTTGTGAATTTTGTGCAAAGTGGCAAAAAATTAAAAATTTAGAAAATTAAATACCGAAATTTTCTTATTTAAATGAACAAAACTTTTGTTTAACGAAACAATTGTAAAAATTACTGGAGTAAAAATATAAAAACAAAAAAAAATCAATTGTAAAAATATAAAATGATAAAACATGAGTAAAGTAAAGAATAAAAAAAATGTTGCACTAGTTAAAAATAATTGTATAGGTAATTCTTTATAAATATTGAACATACGTCTAGATATATGCATAGATTAGGTCATAAATATAAAAATTATACATATTATATATATATACGAAAATTGAACAGAAATTATGATAAACAATTATTATTATCATTAATTATTATTATGATGATTATTATTACTATTATTATTTGCGCCTGTAAATAAATTCACGCGAAAATATATTAACAAATTATTATAAATAAAATGGAGTGCTTATTTACAGAACCAATATTTCCTGTTGTGTATTAATTATAGTTATAATAATTGAAATAATATAAAGTTTTATGTCGACACGAATCGACATGTGGGCGTGGGTGTCACTTACTATTTAAACCAATCACAAGTCTGGCATTGCTTGTGTAACCGATCCCATAGGTTGACGCGGCGCCGCAAGCTCATGATATGCTAGTAAAAAGTTTGTATCAACATTATTATCCTGCGCATGCTCTTAACCCTGAATTAAGCAAGGATGAACAACTACCCTACAGTACATTTTTTTATTGTTAAATTTACAGAAGCTAAAAATACCTGGCTTAAAAATATTGTTGAGCTTGAATTATAAATATTTCGTCTGAAATCATCAATAGTAAGTAAAGTAGCTTTTAATAAAAAAAGCAATAAGAAAATTGAGAGTAAAATCTCTCAAAATTAATCTGCAATGATAATAATTAATATTTTGCTTTTTATAAAGAAATTTCACTAGTGAAGGCCGAGTTTTGAATTTTCAAACAATTTTTGGCCCACATTTTTAGTATGCATGTAAATTATGAGTTTTAAATTGAATTCATTGAATTTGATTTAAAACACCATGAAAAAAATTTACAAAAACAATATTTTCAATACATATTTTTCATATTTTAACACATAATTTTTTATTTATTTTTTTATGAAGAAATTATGAAATTCTTTGACATAAATTTCTTGGTTCAAGATTGTTTTCTATAAGATAAAATTAATTTTTTCAAAGCAGACCAATATTCTAATCCTTTAGTAAAAAGTTGATGTGACGTTTTTATTGTTGTCGCTTTTCGTTGTCATGGTAATCGTTACTATGTTAACCGTTGATATGGTAACCGTTGCTATGGCAAATTTTTTCCATGAAAATAATCATAACTTTTATTAAAAAGTTGATGTGACGTTTTTATTGTTGTCGCTTTTCGTTGCTATGATGACCTTTTTTGGCAATGGTTATCATAGCAACGGTTACCATGGCCACGGTTAAATATTAATGAGTAAAATTTGTAAAAATATTGATTAATTAAATTGTCGATAATAAATATTTTGACACAAGCGCGCAAAGTGCGTTCGATTTTCTAGTGAAAAAAATTTTCCATTTTTGTAGTAAAAAAATAAATTCCTTTTTTCATTAAAATAATTACTAACCCCAAATATGTCACTTAATTTCATAGATATTATGATCATGATAACGATAACGATAATCTTACCGGTCTTCATCAAAATTTGTCTCTGACACACTCGTGTCCAACCTCTATCTTTGCCTCTATCTTTACATTCTCCATCCAATATTTCAACGTATGTCTCCAATCGATCACCACCACACAACACACAACATACACATCGACAAAACTAGTATGAACTCCCTCCATGAAATGTCACCCTCTTCCCCCCATTATTGTCGAACGTCACGCTTTCCGCCTCGGCTGGGCGTGTTTTGACAGTTGCTGCTCTGACACCTCTAGCACATTCATTAAAAAGTGGTTCTCACTTCCACCGAGCCATCCTCTGGCCACCCAGTTCCAAAAATGGCTTTCCAAATCCATGAAAATTAACCCGTCAGATCTCCAGAGCTTCAAATTTCCTCCAAAGTTTCCATTCGCAACCAAAATCATATTCAACAAAATCATGTAGATGATTATATCAAAATGTGAAACTAGATATTGAAACAGATGATTTTAGAAAGTTGAGAGCCACGAGCCCAGCTGTCCGGATTTAGATGTTTAGGATAATGTGGTCGGATATACAACTAAATAATCTAGTCCAGTCTGCTCCGTATTAGTAAGTGCCAAAAGCCCCGTCAGTATATTATATTTACAAATTGTCTGTTTAGTTAGAGAAGGACGGGTGATATATAATGTATATACATATGAGAATATTATTTATATTAGAGACAGACATAAACAAGGACTAGAGCAGTCTATGCACTGTCAAAAAAAAAGCGGAGTGGATGATTTTTAATTGACTTAATCCCTCCGAAATTGAATTGACTCAAAGAAGGATTTTATTAATATTATAAAAAAAGAGTAAATTCCTTATTTTTTTTTTTTTTTTTTTAAATAAAAAAATCGTTGTCATTCATTTAAAAATTACAAAATGCGTATTTAGAAATTTTAAGAATTCATACATCCTTTTTTTCTTTATTTGATATAACAAATAAATTTCAATATATAATACAAATTGCATCAATATTTTTTAAATTTCTAATAGTAACATTTTTTGATAAATTCTTTCTTTAATAATTTATTTGTTAAAAAATCATAAAAATTTCCATAAGTCAGTTAATTAAAGTAGTTAATTTTATTTAATTAAAAGTTGTGGTAATGTCAATATTTTATTTTTTTTTTATTTTTCAACAAAACATCATGAAAATGAAATAATTTTTATCTTACAATTATTTAAAAATTTATTTTATTAGTTAAATGATAAATTGTGATAAAAGTACACAGAAAAAGAAATTAACTTGATTTAAAAGAAAAATTCTTGAACCAAAAATATTATTTTGAAGAGTTTTAGTGTCTTGAATCAGGACAAAAAATTCTCGAATTTAATAACATTTTTTTAGTTCAAAAATTTTTCTCGAAAATCAAGCTAATTTTTTTTTTCAGTGTCAGGACTTTTGAAGCAGAGTTGATAAGAAAGGAAATATATATGTTTATAACTATTTTGTAGGGTCTAGTGGTTATTTGTAGACAGATTCGACACTTTTTACAATAAACTCAATCATAATAGATCGATATATCTTTTGGTGTGAGTATAATAACATACATACATTATACATATTTATCCACATTGTCTGTAGGATGGTATGTCATATATTATTCACCTTTTCCATCGGATTTGCGCCGAGGAGTGTTTAGAAAAAAGGGAGTAGAAAGAGACAAAAAACGAGGACGATTATGACGAAGATTATGCCCCAGGTATTTGTTGTGCTACACATTGAGGGTCTCGAACCTCGACGTGTCACGAGCTCAAAAATGCTAGAGGGGTAAAAGGTGTGAAAAAGCACCGGGTAAAAAGATGAAGCTGAGGCTATTAAAACCAAGATCTAATACCAAAGTATTAGTATTGGTGTTGGTTTGAATTTTAGAGGGTTCATTGTTGCGGTAAGAAGTTTTTCGTATTTTGGTATTATCCATTGTGGAGATGAATATCGGTGAAAAGCTAGACGGAATTGAGCCGGGAATTGTCGGGGCTTATAAAATTCCTCGGCAGGTCGCCCCCGTGGTGGTGAGTCCACTTCTTCCGGCTATTGGAGACGCTGGATCATGCTCTCTTGGGTGCTCGAGGACGCGGGATAATTTTAAGAAGACGCTGTACACGTTATCCGCCCAGAATAGAACTGCATTGACGTGCTTTACTTTTTCAGATATTGAGATATATAGGTGTGTATTTGGGCGAAGAGATCCTTTGGAATCTTATTTGGACACAAAGAAAGCCCATTATTTCTGCGGACGATTATGAAACTGGAGCGCTAGGAAACTCTTCGAGGAAGCTGCTAATGATGTTTTTTTGGTAACTTGGGTCTGATTTTTCGGAATTTTT